TTCTGCTTATGTTCTCTCATCACACCCCTTTGATATTGCATCAAATGAATGCAATCACATTTGGGGTGTTGTCCAAAATCTCAGTGCTTACTATTCTCCATGCAAGAAGTCTTCAAATCCTGATACAAACTTTCAGGGACCAGCAATGAAGTCTCCGGCTCCAAATCTCACAGAATTTAATGTTGTACTGTCTTCCTTTGCAGCACATATAGAATTAGTGGTTTTAAATGAACTAGCCAACCCGGGACAATTTCCTTGTTTTTTCACAAATTTCACTAACTTGGAAAAACTCATCCTCTGGATTTAAAACATGTTTAAAAATTGACAGTCAATTTATTAAATGTTTCACAGAGAGGCATGCAGTCATGGGGCCGGTTAGTTCCCTGAAGCCCCCAACCCTGTCTTTTTAATTCTGGATTTTAATTATTTCTTCTTCTTGTTAGCTGCTTTATGATGATATTTATATATAGCTTTTCTGTTTTTAAATATCTATTTGTACACGGCTCAGAGTCACTCTAGGAGGGAAATGGACAGTCTCTAAATATGTTAAATAAAGATGCATAAAGATTCAACAAAGATTATTAGGGGACTGGAGGCTAAAACATAGGAAGGAACTGGGTATGTCTAGTTTAATGAAAAGAAGGACTAGCGGGGGAGACATAGCAGTGTTCCAATATCTATTCTCCAAGGCACCTGAGGGTAGAACAAGAAGCAATGGGTGGAAACTAATCAAGGAGAGAAGTAACTTAGAACTGAGGAGAAATTTCCTGACAGAACAATTAACCAGTGGAACAACTTGCCTCCAGAAGTTGTGAATGCTCCAACACTGGAAGTTTCTNTCGTTTCGGCCCTCAGCGACTGCAGATCGCCGCAGGGAGGCTCGGGCCTGATCCGGGGAGCTGGCTGGCCTTCTCCTCCACAGAAGCTAAGTCTCGGAGATCCGAGGACGGTGGGAGGAAGGAACCCGACCAACAGGCGGCCCTTCTCTTCCGAAGAGTCTGCAAGGCGTTCTTTGAGCCGTGAGGCCAATGCGTGAGCCCATCCCGGCATCAGCTTGATCCCAGGCCCCGCGGTGTCCGGAGCATGGCGGAGGAATGCAGGGAGGCCTTAGGGGAGCAGGCAGGGCCCTCCAGCAAGCGCAGCAAGCTGGATCCCTCAGCTAAAAAAGGCAAAGGGCACAAAGGCTCTAGTGATGGGCCTTCTCCAGGGACTGCAAGAGCCTCAGTGGAGCTCAGGGAGGTGTCTAGGCCCCAGCAGGTGGCTGAACCTACCCCTACCCATCACAGCAGGGATATCTCCTCCCCTGATAGGGAGGCCCAATCCCCTGGGGACAGTGAATTTCTTTTGGGGGAAGAATGTGGCTCCAGGGATCCCTCTCCAGAAGCTTCTTGGGGTTACCCTGAGTCCCCTAGCTCTTCCATCGGGGGGGGGGGGGAACGTGATTCCATCCAGGACTCCCTGCGTGAGGAGGGTGAGTCCAGCTCTGGCAGAGCTGACCAACGCAGGCCTAGCAAGCAACGCCTAAAGAAGGGAAAAAGTCCTGCTCTTTCAGCTGAGATGAGGGAGGTGATATCCTTGGCTATTTCCCAAGGGATAGCTGAAGGAATCAAGCATAGGGGTTCACGCAAGCCCAAGGCTTCCAAGCAGAAGCGTAAACCCAAGCCTTCCACTTCTAAAGAGCCTCCTTCCACTTCTGGCTCATCCAGTTCCTCTCATTCTGATTCTTCCAGCTCTGAGCAGGAGGAGGGGGAAATATTCGTTCTGTCTGAAGACGAAGACCTCCCTCCTGACAAGCTGGCCTCCACGGGCCTTTTCAAGCCGTCGCTGTTTAAATCAATCCTGCACAAGGCTATGACGGCTACGGAGCTAGGCCTCACTTCTAAACCTGAGGCTGCACAGGCTTCTACATCCAAAGATCACAAACATGGGCTGTTTAAAGAAACAGTCTCAGCTCCTGAGGTCATTCCTGTGCATGACCTCTTTATGGATGTGGTTCAGCGCCAGTGGCTACAGCCAGGCACGCTGACCAACCCCAGTGGGGGTGACAGGTCCCTCTATGCCCTGGAGGGGAAGATGGAGGACATCCTGAAGTTCCCAGAGGTGGACGCCCCAGTAGTGTCTCTAATTTCCAACTCAAACCTACTGGCTGAGCTCCTAGAGGGACTGAAAGCGGAGGACAAGAGGTCGGAGAAGGCGTGCCATAAAACTCATATGGCTTCCGCACTGGGTCGTTGGTTACGCGCTTGCATAAAGCTGGCATATGAGCACCAGGGCAAGACGGCTCCGTGCCGGGTCACCGCACACTCTACTA